TCCTTTAATAGCACCATAGTGCTGCTGACATCGTGAAGGGTTAAAGCCCATTTCACCATAAAACAATTGGGGGCTTGATTGTAGTGTACCCTGTTGTTCCATCCACTGCTGAACAAAACTGCCATTCATCCTCAATTAAAACTCTTAACTTTTCTCCTTTTTGATACAGTAGTGTTGCTTTGAAAGGAGGACTAGTGTTATTTTCTTTCATCTTGTACTGGTTTATATGAAGATACAGGAAATCAAAGTTAGCCCTTCTGTTGCCAAATGAACTGCAACCATATGAGGCTTAGAATAATGACTTGCTTGCAAATCTTGCTATGAATCAATGGGAAGAAAGATTGGATTTCATTTTGAGATATTCTAAAGTAATTTAATTATGTGTGCATGTGTACTGTATAAAGTGTGTGTGTGTGTGTGTGTGTGTGTGTGTGTGTGTGTGTGCACGCGCAAGCGCATTGTGTGAAATCTACCTTATAAAATCATTACTGGTAACTTGCTTAAGAAGAAACTACCTCTTATGCTCTGTTTTTCCCTGATGCAATTTCTGCAAACCTGGGGTTGGCACATTTGAATGAATTCATCGCACAGCTTCCCATAAAGGGAAGGTATTTGCTCAAATAGGGAGTAGATTCCTTTGCTATTGGCTTCAGAGCAGCTGTAAACACAGTTACAAGACTGGGTAAAGCTTAACAAGATTTCTCAGTTAAGATATTCCATATACAGTGTGCATACCTGATGGGACTCTTTAACTCACTTCTGGGAAGATTTAGTCTTTAACACATGACTCATCATCTTCATGAACCCTTTCATTCTTAAAAACTTTAACAGACAGTATCTGAAATGACTGAAAATAAGGAGCCTATGTCCAAAAAGAACGTTCAAGCTGCTTACTTGAAAAAATGACATGAAAAAATAGAACAAAACAGCGCTTTACTTTCAGCTTGCTGTGCCCCTGCACCAAGCACACCACATGCCCACAAGAATCATTGCATTAGTTTGACCCAGCTTGCCCAACATCTGTATAGATCAGGCACTTCAGCAGGGCTTTTTGGCACTATTATTTAATAGCTGATTGAATAGCTGATGTATAAATATTATAGTCTGAGCCTTACTTCTGCTCAAAGAAAAAAAAATGAGCACAGAATATATATATATATATTTTCCAAAGTAAATGGTAAAAATTGTTAATGCAATGTCATGACTGAGAAATTAAAGGAAGACTTGAAAGCCCAAATGTCAGTTGAATGCTCTATTCCTAATGATTTTTTAAAATGGGGTCTTAGGGGTTCTGCTTCCCTTGGGCAGGAAAGCATCCACACATTGACAGCCAGATGACCTGTGCCTATGTTAAGGCCATTTTTGAGACAGGAGGCTTGACCATCTAATTTGTAACTGTGGAAGCAAGGATAATTTGATTAGCATGGAAAAATGTGGTATGTTCTGAAGAGTTTCACCCAGATGTTAGCCCTGCTGTTTTCATGAATATAGCCCTCTGGGTTGGTTACATGTTGTCATTGTCAGCTCTTTAATGACAGCATCAGTATGTTCTGTAGCTATTAGAATATTTTGGGGGGAAAAAAATTCTTGAATTATTAACAGTATTTCCATTGTATCTAGAGACTTTGATAGAGATGTCTTTATATGTAAGGTGATGTTGCCAGTATAAGGTGTTTCTTGTATCAAAAGCCTACCAGACTAAATAAACAAAATAGACAAAGGGGGATTAATTAATTATTATAAGCTGCATTATATGTGGCATAAATTAAAGTTTAGAAAGAGAGTGATTTGCCCCAAGTCGCACTAGAATTGAGACCAGACTTAGGAACTGAACCTATGTTTCCAATTGGCAGTTCCATAAACAAAACTAAAAACAAAATCTTCCCTTCAGTGTGTGTTTTACAAATAATGGAAGTGTCCAGATTGTCGCTAGCTTTATGCAGGTGTACAGGTTGGGGAAGAAGCAGCAAACAACTCCCAACTCTTTAGTTCTGTGACTGCCCACAATCCCATCTTTTTGGTTCTGAATGCCTAGAATTTGAAGAGCCTAATGCTCAGAAATGGTACTGGATTCCACAGATGAAGAGACTGTGGCTGCGCTTCTGCAGTGGCTCATCTGCTTCTGTGCACATTCAGGGACGTATATGGCTGTGCAGCAGTTTTGGAGCCCTCATGCTGTTATACTGGCTGTGTTTTATACTGTAGGCCTACCTGTGTTCATGGTGGTTTTCCGCCTCTTCCTCTGTGCATATGTTTCCTGAAACGATAATGCCAGCCAGTGCACTTAAATGTCAAAATCCTGTGTCAATAAAATCAATATGTTAAATCAGGGTGGTAATGAATTGATTTTCCACTGAGATATAAAAAACAAAAACTGGAAAAACTGTGATAACTTAATGTGTTGGTAAGAAGCAATGCATGACAGGGCATGTTACTCTAAGATAACCACCCACTCTGGGAGGCACAGGGCTGAAGTCCAAGTGCCTGTGGCATCTGAGAAGAGGTGTTATCAATGACTAGTGAATGCCCTGGAGAATATTATTCCACTTAAATTATCACAGGATTGACTGAGGGGGAAAAATGGCTAAATATCTCACAACCATATGGGTGTTATCTCATAATTGCAAGGTTTCACTTCTTAGCCAGACATTTTTTTCTCTCAGTGCCTTCTTCTTAATACTGATATACTCTAATATCTTCCTAGACTATGAAAGTGCAAATTGCATTGAAGTAAAACCTTGGAGGACTAATTTAAAGATTTATGGAAGCCTCTAAAGTACATTTATTTGTCAGGGCTCACAAACAAATTTTGAAGTACTTGCTCATAAAGTATCTTATGATTAGCAGTTAAAATGAAGATGGCATTTACTTTTACTCAAGGTTGTCAAAGCATTTGAAAACTTATAATTAGCCCTTACAACTTTGAGATAGGAAATGATGATTAAACTCACTTTTATAGGCTGTGTGACTAGCCCAAGATCAGACATGTCAGTGACAGAGCTAGGAATTAAATCAGAGTCCTAAATTTCAGTCCCCCAAACTGTAATCAACAGATCATTCTGCCTTCCCTATCTATGAGATTATTTTTGGATTGATTATATTGCACCACAGTAACAGGGGGAAAAAAAGTCTCAGTGACAGTCATTTGAAGATTTTGAAAACAGAATCCATCGTATGTATTATTGAGTATGTGTATGACTCATAAAAGCTAAATATTTAACAGTGTTTCTTCTTTGTCTATTTTATAATCAGCCCATCAAGCTCGGAGACCATCTAAACAGCATACTGCTTGGCCTTTGTGAAGATGCCATTTATTCCCGTGTGTCTGTACGAACTGTTCTGGATGCTTGCAGTGCCCATATAAGAAACAGTAATTGCGCACCTTCTTTCTCATATGTGAAACAGTTGGTTAAACTAGTTCTGGGAAGCCTGCCTGCGGTAAGTGTTTACGAGCCATTGAGCAATAACTTGGATCTGCACAGAGTGAAGAAATTAGTTCAAAGTCTTTATGCTGCTTGTTCTTTATTCTCTCCATTTTGCTTAATGGGGCACTCAACCAAAAAATCTTACCCTTCTGTTCAAATATTTTTACCTATTTTTTAAACAAGTAACATCTGCAAAAAAAAAAAAAAAAAATTTAAATATTAGAGGGGTAATTTTTTTGGTTTTCTCTTGTTTTTGTGAGATTGTGCATTCAGCAGTGCTTTTGGGACAGTCCATTTCACTGTTTCCCCAAGAAAGTCGCTTTCTTTTTTCTTCTACATAACCTTGTGATCATAGGGAGAAATATTATTTGAAAAATTAGAAATTATATTGTAAACAACAAAAATTACAAGGAATGCTCAAGGGCAGGCATGTACCTCAAACAATATATGTCTTTTTTTTTTTTTTTAATTGACAGGATTTTCCTTTTAAATTTTAACTTAAATTTTGGAAAGTTGAAGGAAAAGAGCAATCTTACCTTACCAGGCATCCATTTAAATTCTTCTTGGGCTCTACTGAGCTGTCAGCCATTATTACTGTGAAGGGACTATATTATATAATGATGACAAACATACTAAATTATTTTCAGATGCGAGTGAAACCACATTAACTAGTTTCACAAAGTTACCATTCCTGACTGGCAACCTCTTCCTTCACTATTGCATTAGTGCATATTCATAGTTTCATAGCTGGTAGGGTTGGAAGGGACTTGAGGAGATCATCTAGTCCGACCCCCTGCCATGGACAAAAGAGTACTGGGGTCAAACGACCCCGGCCAGATGTTCGTCCAGTCTCCTTTTAAAGACCCCCAGGGTAGGAGCCAGCACCACTTCTTTTGGAAGTTGGTTCCAGGTCCTAGCCACCCTGACAGTGAAAT